TAGTACACATAATTAGATACACTACTACTGGGTACGACTGTATATTATAAGTTGTATGGTTGGGGGGTTAAGTTAAGTTAATCACCGCGACCTTAATGAGTCTATACAGAAAGGTCCACAGACTTCGAGACATAGGAAAAATCAAGTCCATTTATGTGTGTCGCAATTTTCACACCTTAAAAAATTAGTTTTTTTTTATAGCTATAGCAACTGCAGCGACTATGAAAAAAGCTGTGTGATTTTCATAGAAAATAAGGGCACCTGTAATTCATTTGCGAATGTTATAAATCGCTAAAAGAGGTTTCAAATCTCTTGGATTTCTATTAATATTAAATAAATTTTATTAAAAATTGAACTAAAATTGTTAGTATCATTAAAAACAATTCAAATTCAAAAATTGTATCAGTCAAATTCCCTCATTTAAGGTGAATATTAAAGTAAATATAAATACAGCTCATTCTAAGCTCTACTTATCTTTAAGAAAAATTTAAATCATTGGTGCAATTGGGCCTTAATGCCATTTCGAATGAATAATAGTAATAATAATGTACATTATAATAATAATAAATTTTATATCATAGTGTGTATTAAAACTACTAAAACACTTTTAAATTGGTATTATATTAACAACTTTTGTTTTTTTAATCCAAAAAAAGTAACAAATTTCTCAATCAAAATATTTGTGGTCCTGAAAAGGACCGTTGTTTTCCCATGTTCGTCAAGATAGGTAATGGGTAAACGGGAAAAAAAACAGGATAATGAAATTTAAAAATTTACAAAAATTGTTCAAAAGTGCCTCCTTCTTGCATTAAACAATAACCCAAACGATCATAAAATCCCCTCTCTCCTCACATTGGATAACATATCAGGGGTGAGAGTGTCAAAGGCATTAAATATTTTCTGCCTTAACTGCTCCAAGTTTTGAATTTCTTCATGGCCGTAAATTTTAGATTTTATGTACCCCCATAAAAAGAAATCATTCACCGAGAAGTCAGGTAAAATTAAACGTCAGTCTAAACAAAATTGTCATTTTTGAAAACTTGTCAAAATTTGGACACACGCTAAATGAACTTGATTTTCCTATGTCTCGAAGTCTGTGGACTTTTCTGTATATCTTTTTTGAATTATAACTCATCATACAATCTCATAGCTTTGACAAAAGCTAGTATTTGAGACGGTTTTATACAGGTTAGTTTTTGATCTCTGATATCAGTCAAACCAAAGTTTATAGCACGAATGGTTGTCGTCTCGGCGCACTCAGTGATGAGGTGCTCTGGGGTTTTTCCATTTTCTCTACAAAATTCCGTTGTTTCTTAGCTTCAATCTGCTGATGTGTCCAATGAGGATACAGTGTCCTGGTAAAATCCCGTGACGTGAGGGTTTTTCTTACTTAAATCAAGGAAAATCTTTGACGTTTTATCGGTGCTCAAAATTTCTTCGAACCGTTGGTGGCTTCCAGGTTCTTGAGTTCTGCTTTAAGTTGGTCTCCACTTGGGCAGCAAACGGTTCTGGTTCAGTTAGTGGACTGTTTGCTCTTTTTCTAGCTAAATCGTTTGCTTTTTCATCACCTTCTAGAGCAGGAGAACTTTATTTTCTTTGCATATTATGTTCAGCTTTCCTATACAGTCTTTGACCAACTTCGAACTGATGGTTACTAAATTGGTCGCGTTTAAAGCATTAACTGCTGCTTGACTATCGGACAAGCATAAGCTGCTTGACTATCGGATAAGATGGCTATTTCCTGTTTCCAACAGTTCCTATCTAAGATAAGTTGTACGCATCTTTCGATAGCGTAGATTTCTGTCTGAAGACTGCTGGGGTAGGTGTCCATTGGTTCGGGGTATTTAGTTTTGGGCCCAAATACTTCTATCCCTGTTCCTACTTTGGTTTTAGAACGGAAGAGCATTTTTTCACTTTGGACGAGCATTTTAATAATTTGTTATATAACAATCATACAAAAGAAAAACTTGTGAGGATTATCAAATTAATTATTTGTAATTATTAAAATTTAAAAATAAATTTAATTTATTTTCAATTAATTGCATCGCCGAGGAATTCAAAAGATATTCGAAAATTTCTGATGAGATTCCACAATTGAATTCAACAAACTCCCTCATAAGTTTATATCTGATCAAGAGTCAATCCTTCGTTTATTGAGAATAGTGATGGGCGAGATTGGTGTTGGTTTTGGTCTTCCACAAAAAAACAAGACAAAGACTAGCGTTCGATCTGCAAGACCAAGACGAACATAAAGATCAAGCATGCAAAACTATCTCGGTCTTGCTGTCACGTATATATTATGATATAAGAAATTACTTACACACAAACATAAAAAAGCAACATAAGAAGACGAAGGGCAAGAGAGGTAGCGAGAACCGCTCACCTCTTCTCCGGCTGGGAGAGAAAAAAGCCCGGATGTAAAGCCGTCCATCACCGGGAGGCAAGCAGGGACGTATCACCAGATTTGCCGCTATTGTTGGACAAGTGAAAATGGCGGTGCTGCCAAAGGATTTCCCAGAGGTTGCTCTGACCACCGACCAGCAAACGTCTCTAGAAGAGGCTATACTGGACGAAGTAGTGGCGATCGGATCGCAACACAACGATCTACAAAGTTTGGGTCAGATGCGTTTTGCGGGGATACACTTTCGGGTGGGCATGATCCTCATAGATCTCAAGAATCGGTGAATTGGTTGGTGGAAATCGCACCTAAAGGGGCGGCCATAACGGTCTTTCTGCCGAGGAGCAAGGGGAAAGACACCACCTACCTGCTGAGCCTTATCCAAGATCAGAACTTCAATGTAAGGACATCGAGTTGGCGAGTCATCAACTCGAGGGGGAGGGTCATGGTCATGTCCTCATAATAAGAATTGACGTCAAATCCAAGGAAGCAATAGAGAAAGAGGGACATATCCTCTATTATAGATACGGGACAACACCGGTATCAGGTCTAAGGAGAGACCAAGTTAAAGAGGTGGAGAAAATGGAGACAGATCCTCTAGCCTCCACGTCACGGGTTCCTCAGCCGGAGGCGAGCTCCTCGACTGTGAAGAGCGGCACGGATAGCCAAACTCCAACCGTGGAACAACGTGTACCCTCGGAGGAAGAACTGTTGTCAGAGGAGGATGGGAAATACCCTGTCCCCTCTACAACAAGGGTATGATGGGTTATAGATTGTGTGATGACTCAAGGAAGGGGGGCACAATAGATCTTTAAGGTCGCAGTGATTAACCCCCCCCCCTTTACTCATTCTACATTCTACATGGACTTTATAAAATTCTTAAAAAAAGAAACACACAAACATAAAAAAGCAACATAAGAAGACGTTAAAATTAACTCTAATTTTGTGTCAGTTATATTTCTATGATAGTTTTAACACAAAATTTTAAAACATGCGCCGTCACTGTCGTCGAACACGTCGAATAATTCTCGACTTTGAATATAAACATGAGCGCGACACGGGGTCACTTTCGACGCCGACAAATGGAAAAGTGGAGCCTCCATATTTTATAATATCGGCGTATGGAGAGAAAGAGAATGCCGGATTAGAATTTCAAAATAAATGTAGTTCCTGTTTTACTTCCGAGCGTATTCGAAAATATCGTTCGTAGAGTTTATATTTTACATTGGAGGTAGCAGTAGTCTAAAAAGGCTCTTTAGGAACATTTAGAAGTTGGAAATGAGATTAAAACTAACTTGAAATGAAATAAGTGCCAGAATAAGTTATAACATTTTTGAAGTATCGTTACTGAAACAAAAAGCTTCTTTGTGGAATCGTTCGTAATAAAATTAAATTTCTCTATAAGAACTGGTATTTAGATCAAATAAGGTAATTAGACGTTCTGAAGAATTATACCGTTATGTATACAGGGTGGTCCCAACTGTATTCCGGAAACTTCGGCAGCATATTCTGCAGATAAAAATAAGTAAAAAAGTTCGTATAAATGTATGTTCTAAAATGTTTAGTTTCGGAGATACAGGGTGTAGAAGTTTCATTTTTATTTCGATTTTTTCCAAACAATTTCTGAAGTAACGTCAATATTTGGATGAAAATTGGTGTCTAAGAGTTTTTTGACATGAGAAATTTTATATCGATGTCAATATGGCTCCTATTTGTCGGGGGCGCCAACTACATGTGTTTTAACTCTCTTGAAAAGCAATAACTTTTCATCCGTACCTGTATAAAACTACTGAGTGAAAAAATGTACATTTCCGTGATTTTTTACGTAAAAAATGTCTCTTGGTAAAAATCGCTACGAGCAACCGTTCTCAAGATATTTCGATTGGAAATAGTTAATACATGTCATTATTGACAAAAAAATAAACACGTTGAGAGTAGATAAATATTTGACTGAGATAATACATTTGGGAAATCTACTCTGCGAAAAAATGATGATAAAACAATTTCTGTTGAACTTTTGACACAAAATAATTTCAAATTTATGATTTCAGTCTGATAACTATTTAGTCAACATGTTCAAATTTATGTCAATGATGACAGGTACTGATAATTTTGATTCCAAATATCTAGAGAAACATTACTCGTAGCGATTTTTACCAAGAGGCCTTTTTTACGTAAAAAACGTCGTAAATGTATATTTTTTACTCAGTACATTTTATACAGGTACGGACGAAAAGTTATTAGTTTTCAAACCAGTTAAAAAATATGTAGGTGACGCCCTCTACAAGTAGGAGTCATATTGACTTAAGAATCAAATTGCTCAGGTTAAAAAACTCCCAGACACCAATTTTCATCCAAATATTGGCGTTACGAAATTGCTTGGAAAAAATCGAAATAAAAATGAAACTTCTACACCCTATATCTCCGAAACTAAGCATTTTCTAAAAATTTAGTTGAAATAATATTAATATTAGATTAATTATAGTTTATCTTTTTTAGTGTCTCATTTAGTTTGTAATTGAATTGTTAACATATTTGTTACTAAATTCATGCCTATTCACAGCAGTGTTATTAATTTGAATAGTTGCAATAAAATACTTACTTTTTTAGCGTTTTCCTGATTGTTATTATCAGCGTGCGGTGCTGAAGGAGCCATCACGGATACGTTAGATTGTGAAAGAAGTTCGTCACTTCCTCTCTGAAACAAAAATTAAATATTAAACTTTTATAATCAAAACATATTATCTAAAAAATATATTAATAATAATTATTTCTATCAACTATAAATACATCTCATGATAGATTCTAGAAAACAGTATGTATATTTTATTGTTTATATATTAGCAATTACATAAACAAATTATCGAAAGTATCCCTAAGTTATTGAAAAAAATGTAAAGAATACACTTTCAAATGTCAATATTTTTTCCTGATATAAGTTTAATTAATTAAAAGAAGTGCGCAAAAGAGTCAAGCAGATATTTAAACTTTGTCTACGATGATTTATAAGTAAAAAAATAGCATTTGTTTAATATTGCTATTTCCAGACCAGTCAACTACAATAAATCAGCTACAAAGTTATAGACATATCAGGCGTATATCAGTTTCGCCTATTTGTATTCAGGTATATTGAGCTGTTTATAGTTCTGTGGTTAATACTATTACACTTACGTGGTCACTACACTATTATGCATGTAACGTGCAGTAGCAATTCTGATTCAGTACTATGACTAATTTGTCAAAGTTTGACAGAACGTGATTACTTCGACTTACAACATCTCTGAAACAATTTACCATGTTCTGATGAATTATGAATTAACTAATGAATTAGTGAATTAAAATATTATAAAAATAGGTTGATAACAAATAACATAAGATTTAAATTAAAATCAAAAATTCAGAAAATAGTAAATTAAAATTACTTAAGCTCTTATTGTTAATATTGTTTTTAAGTATTTCATCGGTGAAATAAGACTATTGAGCCAATACAAAATAAAAAAAAAACCAAAATGGTCTTCATTAGCAAGATACAAAAATCACAAAAACTTCAAACTGGACAAACATAAAGATGAAGTGGAAATAGTAGTATGCGGAATTATGTAAATTCATCACTTGGCTGAATTTAAGGAATAACGCAAATTTTACAAATTTAAATATAATTTTAATATTTCTTTATTAAAATAAACAATAAAATGTTTTATTACAAATTACTAAATGGTAGTATGATTTTAAAATCAAATTTTATAATGGTAAAATGTTGATATTAAAGCTGAATTAATTCATCTATGAGACAAAGTATTAAAAAAAATTAATAATAATAAAAAATCATTATGCAAAAACTTTTACAAATTAGAATTTCTTTAACCAAATTCGTTCTACATTTTCAAAGATAAAAACCATTTGTGAAAATAAAATAGAAGTACGAGTATAGGTCATTTCATATCGAAAAATAAACACACTTTTAGTGTTAAAAGTATCCCAAATAAAGAAGAAACAAATTCTATTAATTCTATTAAAGTTTTCTTCTATACATACAAAATTTTAAAATTTTTAATTTAATAATAAACAAGATAAAAATAAAAATTCGAATAAAAACTGTTGCAAAATCGATTAAAAAACCGTTAGTAATGTTGGTGGTAAAACTTTCATCTGGTTTTAAACAAAAATAAAAAGAGGTATAAAAGCTTGCAACCTCGGGTAATTAAGGATGCTTTAGTTAAAATCGCTTCGCGGGGAATTACGAAACAGATCTCAATGTTAAAAGTTTTTCCTAAAAGTTCGCTAACTGTTGTAACCCTTTTTCTAAAAGTTTTGTTTTAGTTAATGGGGCTTTAAATACACGATAATAAAATATACTACTCCCTTGAAAAACTATTATAATATTGTAAAATATTAAAATGAACATCTATTTTATCAGTATTACATCTATTATCAATATTTGGAGATTGGTGAAGTCTGGAGGAATTACCACTTGATTTTGACTTGAAATACACTATTGAAATGTTGCACTAGACTGTAGTAATTACAGAACAATTGCTCTGATTCCCTATGCCAGTGAAATACCCTTAAACATCATCAATGAGGTGTTAAACCCTTTGTCCTCCTGTAGATATCAGATGAACATGTTTTATCTCCGGAAAAGGCACTGAGAACAGATCCTAAATCTTCGACAGACCAGAAAGAAAAAGCCAGAGAATCGAGATATAACTGTGCTTCGTGGACTACTCCAAAGCATTTGAAAAGGTAAAATGGAATAAACTCTGGACTATTTTACTAGAAATGGGCACTCCACCTTACCTCATTTATTTGGTCAAAAAGCTCTATGAGGAAAACAATACTAAAATCAGAGCTAAATATCTTCGAAAGGAAAGATAATATATATAAAATAGTTTTATGAAAGATATATTCAGTAAACATATATATTATTATTTAATATTAACTAAATATTATACATTCATCACGGTAGGTTTAATAGCATATATCAAGCGATATATAGATTACATTTGTCTATCATAAATTTAGAGATAGTTTTACTGACCAATTAAACCTGTGACTCTATGACAGACGATCGTAAACTATTTACGGCAGCTACAACCATTAAAATTGAATATCTCATTTCGCCACAGGTCATCAATGCAATTTCGGAAAATAAAACGGGATCATCGTTAATGTGAATTAGAAACATATAATATAAATACATCCCATTCCGTTCTTGTGGAATAACAACAAATGTGCTTTATGCTATTTTTATACATTGTTTGTTTATTGTTTCTGATGATCTTAAGAAAATAAATATTCTATGTATATTATACAAATTAAAATTCATAAACTAACCCATAAAATCATGGAACATCATAGAAAATAATAGACCCACCACAAGAAAAAAAACTCTAGGTAGAATAAAAAAATATAACTTAATTAAAAAAATTACTAAAAGCGAACTTAAAAAATTTAAGAGAATTTTCTTGATGTTTTTATTTTTTTGTAGTGATTTATTTTTGTCTTATTGAGTTCTTGTTATTCTTCTTTCTTGTTTTTAGTTTTGCTGTTTTTACCTTTTAAAGCACCTTTTTGGTGTGCTCCCTCATATACAGGGTGGGTCTTAACCAGGTGCAATATTTTCAGGGCTCATATATCTCGATAAAAGAAACATATTCTCCCTTTACCGTTTATCAAGTAAGTCCAAATAAAACGAGAAATTTTGCTTTGAAAATATAAAAAAATGATTTTTAGCTTAAATTTTTAAAACCACGGATCTTTCTGGGTTTTATTTCTTGTAAATTTAATCTACTACCTATGTTGCCGAAGATATTATGTTTTTTAACTCAGAATTAAAAAACAAAAATCAAAGAATTCCAAATTTTTAAAAATAATTCCGAAAAAAAATAGACGTGTTTCTGGGGTCGAAATTTACTACCCCTAAGAATGTTGAATGAATGTTGATGAAACTATTTAAGATTCACTCTGTAGAGGGTTAGGTTAGGTTTAACTATGTTTCTTCTATTTTTATTAACAATGTTTTAAATAAGTTCAAAATAGCTTATATTTATTAATGATACAAGTTCGATACGAACATCGTAATGAAACGCGTGTAACGTAAAGTTGCACAAGGTGAGAATGTGCAATTATATTTTTCATTTTCTAAAAACTAACGACAGGAAAAAATAAAATTGATTTTCAAAAAAATCCGTTTTTTCCAAAAAACTCAGCAATCCTTGAAATTTTTAAAACTTTTTTGATGGCATCTTGGTGAACATCCTAAAGTGCAACTTTGTCCCAATTTAACCATTTTCGTATCTATTAGGGTTACCGAGATACCAATGCTCGTACCTCGAAGTTGTAGCACCCTGTATTAATTTGCGTACCTTCATTGTAATCTATATCCAAACTTTTATCTCCCGTCACCAATCTTTAATTAATCAAAAGCAAAGGTAAAAATAGGCCGCAATCCTTCAAAAACAAACAGCACTACCATTAATTGTCTAATGAATGGACGACCAGTGTTTACAGACAGCGCCCATTCTGTTTGCAATCCCACGGTACGCGTGTCTATGTGTACTTTTTTTTATCGAATACAGTGGCCCGGCGCAAAATATTTATCGGACAGCATGGCGGCGTTAGGGGCGACATCAAAGCGATCTAATAGCGCTAATGGAGGCCGAATGGACCCGCAAACGCCACTACACGTGTGGAATCGGGACTGATTAGGACAAGGTTCGATACCTGTTCGGTTTATTTCACGCTGTTTAGTTTCAAAGCTAACAGATTTATAAAATTGATACCATGGTCGAACAAAAAAATAATTTTCTAATTAAGTACCTTGTTAATCTAGGTATACTAATATAGTCTATAAAATGAATAACTTTGAATTTTGACCGTTATTTTTTACCAACATGACAAATATAAAATTCCTCTGTCAAAAAAGTTACTGATATTCTTTAAATTGAGTGCCTGAACGAATCAGATAGGTAACTCTTTTTACTTTCGTGAAATAGAAAAGGAAAATAATAAAATAAGTGACAGGTCTTCCTCTTCTTACAAAAATCAACACAATTGTCAAAAAGTAAAATGTCATCAGCTTTTGACATTTCTAAATATCAGACCAATGCCGTCTCTAATAGAACAGCCTCGGGGCGAGATTTATGACGTCACGCTAGTTAGATACTACGGATTAATAAATATGTTGTAGAATACATGGAAAACATAATAATTCCTCGTATTTTTGGTTTGTATTTTAAAAATGATATAGTTTACATGAAATATACATAATATACAGTTAATAAATATAATATATATACCTATTTATAGTAATAAATAACTTTAGCAAATAAATTATGAACCATACAAATGCATCAAATGTTTTACAATATACAAATAATGAATAGGTACATAAGATAATGGGTAAAATGCAAAATATATTTTAAATTTTGGGGTTTGAAAATCGATCTAATTTAACAAAAAACATTCAATATCTACTAATACTGATGTATTATTATTTGCATTCACAAAATGTATATGTATATTTTGCGAGTATCAATGTTCGAAAAATTATATTTACAAATAATACAATATCATGGAAAAAAGGCTGCAGCGATGGCTATGAAATAAAGATCGCTGTCATTTTATATGTAAAATTATTCTAAATTTTTTTATTTTCTTGGGATTTAGGTTCGGGAAAAACGCTGATTAAGTTTTCAT